TATTTTTCCCACACCACCGAATGGAACACCCCCATTATTAGAGATATTACCTTTATTACATAAATACAGAATAATTTTGGAATATCCGGAGACGTACACACAGGCCAGTTGTTGACGCTGTACTATTTCAGCTTTCCAATTTGTGATTTCAGCGCAAACGAGAGTACTCAACGATTGTAATCAAGTGTGAGACAAATGTGAGACCATAATAAAAAGCATTGATCAACTCTGTCAGAGCAATTGTGAAACGTGGATAATCCAGGTGGAGGATTTTAGTGCTAAGTTTAATGGTGACTTAGCTAGTGTTAATGATAGCTATGGCAATATGGAATCGCTAAAGTAATTAACTTGTGGAACGTGCGATGTAGTGTCAGCGATTTCAGAAAGAAATGTAGATGTATTGTTGTAGCATGAATGGTTAAGACTTTAAAATAGAATATAAATTTTTAAATAACAACTTTTAAATAAGAATGAAGAAAAGTTAAGATTGTTTATTCCGATGTTGCAGGACTATTGCGACGAACGGCCGTAGGTGAAGTAAAATATTTCGTTACCTTTATCGACGATCATAAGAGATGGTGTGAAATATAGTTAAGCGGTGAAAAATGTAACGTTTTTTTACAACCTTTAAATTATACAATGGTCACATCGAGAATTTGATAAGGCGAAATATCAAATGTCTGCAGACAGAAAATAAAGGCGAATATTATAATTGAGATTCCGACGAGTTCGAGACTTCGAAATAAGACAAAATATCAAAAAGATATACAAATTCTGGTGAGGAATGGACAGGACATCACCACCAATGAACAGGACATTGGTGGTGATGCAGATGTGTATACTAATTTCGCCGGTCTTTCGCTAGGTTTCTAGGCAAATGCTGTTGTAACAGAAAGCCATGTAAGAAATTGTTGTTCAACTAGAAGTCTCAAGGTTGGAATTGCAGTGCTTTGAATTACCTGTGAATTTACATTATTCAAACAACTTTGGACCAAAGGCACTATTTTAGACAAGACAAAAGGACAAATTTGTTCTGCGCATCGTGAAAGCGCTCTTCGCAAGATAACCGAGATACAGCTTCCTGTAGTAAATGTAACCCTTCGGTTACATTTACCATTAAGTTTCATGAAGTCAAGAGAGAAGAAAGAGAAAAGAGAACTTGAAGTTTAACTCATTTGAAATTAAAGAGGGAATCTCTGTTTCTGTTCAAAATCAATCAGTAACAGTACATGTATAGTTTCATTCCAAAAATATTAAGTAAATAACACTAGCATTCGTTCGATTGATTACTCATTCGTAATGTAAGATTACTGTGAGAAGAATGAGAAATAAAACTCTAGTGGTCGTTCTTGTAAATAGATATTTGTACACGTTTATCAGTTACAATATTTGTTTCAAATACCGTATAAGTATAAAAACAATATAAAGAGCTAAACGGGTCTCTACGGAGTTTTGTCACAAACCGTGAAAAACTTGGATAATAAAATAACATTTTTGTTTCACTATAACTTTTAAACCATGTAAATGGCAATGTTGTTTATTCAATCGGAATTTGACCCGATTGATTATACAACAACCCTGTCTGTGAAAGTCTGTTTATTTTTATTTCTTGTAAGTGTCATATCAATCACAGTTTTTCATAATAAAATGGTATTCTTCTTATTAAATACTATATAGAGTGTTATAGTGAATTTAATCTAATTTATCAGGAGTCTCATTAAAAGTTAATTTATGTAACTTCATATGCAATGTAATTCAATTTGTATTATCACGGACTGTGATAGACAGATAGATGGAAAATTCTTTGTTGTTAGCACCACATACAAAGGGAGATTACAGGACAAAAATTAAACACATTATCAGGGTAACAATGGGCGGTCTTATCCCTTACAGCGATTTCTTCCAGACAACCTTGGGATGGAGAGAGACTGAACATGAACAAAAGCGGGGGTGCTAGATATAAACATTTACACATACATATACATAGAAATTATTAAACAACACACTTACACGTATAAATATACATGCATATGTATATAATAATATAATATCAAATTGTGTTGCCAAAAGTAGATAAATAAATTCGAATTTTTGAATTAACATTTTCATAAATATATTGTGATGTTAGTTCAATAAAAGTACTGCATAGAAATCACCAACACTATATTATAGCTTTGTTACAAATCTACAATAATTGTACAATTTGAACTTTCCAGTATTTGACAAATACCAGTAAATTATTACGTGAAAATTAAATCACACTCAAACTATGCAGTGCAAAACAATTTTATTACATAACATTTACATAATTAGATCCAAACATGAGCGAGGACAAATGTCTGTTTGTATAAAATAAGTAGATAATATGGATCTCGCAACCCATAGAAATGCGCCACATTAGCAAAGTTACAGACCAGTACATTAGCACTATTAACTTGATTAGTGTATTACAATAGACTTGTACATCTATGGGCTATATGGGTATGGGCTGATCATCATCGGCATATGACCTAGTACAGGCGAAGCCACAAATCTGTTGGCTGATTGGTTCGGCACAGCAAAGACGGTCGCAGTCACGAAGGGTAATAAAATCCGCTCGATCAGATCGGTATACATCGAGACCGCAATAGTAGTGTTTTTAGACAGAGCGACCCATTTAAACTGATCCAAATGATAACGACTCATTTAAAATAAATGAATTTAGAAATTATGATGTTATAGTGTTTAATTTATTGAAATTTTCTATTTTACTCATCAAAACTAATTCTACTTTTAAAATGATTTTGTCTAAAGGAAATGTAATTTAGCATATTTTCTTAGATTGCGATTGGAAAATAGTTTCAATATAAGGAAACCGAACCTATTCATTTTGGAAAAAAATACATGAAAAGTATACGAGAAGAAGTATTATGAGAAAAAAACACGAGAAGTTGTATTATTGTTGTTAAACTTGTTAATAAGGAACAACCATACGCAAAATAGGCGCTCAGAGGTTGCGGACTTTCGTGCGTTACACTCAATAAATTCTGAAAACTAATGTCATACGGCAAGCTAAACAAAGGGCTCACTTTTCATACACCACAAATTGTGCCAATATTGGCACACACTCTTAACCTTTCATCTGTAGCATAATAACACTGTGAAGAGTTTTTATTTTTATTGAATATCATTGAAGATGTTTTCACAACCATAATATATTATGTATATTATGGTTGATGATTTGAAACTAATTGTAATTGCAAGTGTACTCACCGCAGAGGACAGTGGCCCGGCCACTCGCTTCACCGGGCGATACGTAATCTTTCTCGATCGCTTATTTACCTATTTTTTAAATCATGTACATAAGTACTAGTATTTTTATAATTTACTAATTATTTACATGAGTTAGAAAAGTTGACTGAAAAAATATTTTTTATAACTTAGATTCCAATTGATCCAAGTACCAACTTGGTACCAACTTTAGATTACATGAAAGTAGAGCTAGAAGTACCTAGCTCCACAACTTGTGGCAGGCTCCGTTCCGGAGCCAGCCACAGATATGCAGATTTTCTACTGATCTAGACTGATGATCTACCAATCACGCGCTCGATACGATACTCCCCCCGTCTCTACTCGTACCCTGCCACCAAATAGATCGAAAATGCATAGGTCATTGTTCAAATGGTTGCCGGTACCTGTGGCATGTGTAGTGCAAGTCAATGACCTTTGGTTCAAACTGGGTTACCGCAATTAAATAAAAAATAAGAATTTAGGGAAATTTTTTATTTTTTATTTTTTTAGTGATTAGGTTCAGTTTCGGATATAGAATGATCTCTGTAAATATGGCGAGAATGCAAATCAACACATTGTATATCTATTTTTTTTAAATATTCCGCTTAATATTGTTACAAATATTAGACAAATACAAAGATAAATTCCTCCGACCAACTGGACACGGACCAGCGACTGTTGTCTCAACGTGGCTACCGCGCTGCAAATTGGACTGATCGAACCAGCACATCTTACGAATTTCTCTATGTGCTTGTTGTGGGTTTAAGCGATTTTTATTATGCGCCACTTGTGACAACCCATGAAATATTCTTCATGAAGCCAGGCACCTTTACAGCAATCCACTAATTTATAAAAATATGACTTGTGTCTAATTTGACATATAAAATAATGTTTGTGACACGCACTGGCGAAATGCGTAAGCCGCGCGAAGCATTAACGAATCGATTACAGCTAAAATAAAAGATGACTTCCTCCAGTTTGTCATTATTTAAAATTTCCTTTGTTTTTTCATAAAAAGTTTTGTTTTTTGTTTCTTGTATTGTTAAGGTTTCATAAAAGGTTTCCACCGTTGTGCATCCAATGTAAAATATTAGGCAATGAATGAAAAATAAGGACAATCATAAAAATAAGCTACTTCTTGTCGTGTCCAAAAGTACTGTTTCTTCCCAGGAATTACGTGATATTCTTAAACAAAAAGCTTATGGACTATTTGATGACTATTTGGTAATACTTTTGACATATAAATGATACGGAAGAAATAATATAAGATAAGAATATATTTTGCAAAATGAACAGATTCAAGTTCTAACTTCGCAAAATGATTTTTCAAAATGTAACGAATAAGTTACAATTTTTATCGAAATACGACTCATGAAAACTTTGCATTTTTCGTTATTTCTCGTAGTTCCCGATTTCGCCAGCCACACCCAGTTAGTAAATTCACCTTTTTACACCCCCTGTATACTTATATAAGTATAACGTATGTATGTTTGTATGCGGCGGCACAGTTGTGGCACCTGAGGTTTGTTGAGACGTCTAATTAGAGTATATATAGCGTGACTTAGTGGTATTTGTACGTTCATTAGGTTTAATTATCATACAATAGCAGTGGAGTTTTACATACACGATGGGACGCTATTGACACATTGTTTACCCTGAGGTCCGTTCGCCATTTTTCAGTCCTGCCACCGAACTGGGACACCTCATCTTCAGGGTAGAAAGAGCCTTACCGTGTCGAAGCCGATGTCGTAGTGCGAGCCCTGCACGTACAGAACGGGTACGGCGCGCCGCCGTCCCAGTGCCTTCTCGGATAGCGTGTTCCCTGCAATGCAATCACAACGTTTTATGAGAGCCACACTCCCAAATATTAGATATTCCGCTACAGATAATTAAAAGTTAGAAAGAATCATCGGATTTTTGAAAAAGTTTGCTTTGAATCTCTTTTGTAAAACAAATGTAGCTCTGTATCATACTAATACAATGGTTTTGAAAGTTGAAACTGACTTCATACTCTAGACGGAATAAGAAGCAGCTATATAAGTAGGTAGTAGTACTTTTTATTACATACTTTATTTTAGGTATACGTTTGTATAGGTTTTGCAAAAAAACGTTTATTTTATGTTGTTAAAAATATTACAGCTACATAGGTTCAATCGTAGGTATGTAATGTAATGGAAATCTGTGCGTGTGCGTGTTGCGGTATTTAGTCCACAGTTAGAGTGTGGACTGTTGGTGAATGAAAGCGTCAAGTGCACGGCTGCAGTAGTCTACATACCGCGCACCCTAGTAATCGGTGCCGGAGCGTGTTGCGAGCCTTCAAAGAGCAACATGGGAGACCTCATCCTTAAAGGCAGGCCCCCCTGTCTGATACTTTTTACTTGTACTTTGTGTTTACCGCACAAGACAGTCGAATTGAGAACCTTCTCCTTTTTTTAAATCGGTTAAAAATATGTATGTTATTTTATTCCGCATTTGTTGTATGTCATAGGCATGTCATTAAATTATAAAAGTAGCTAAAATAGACCAATGTATCGGTTTCTAAAGTGTTTTTTTAATCGCGTACGCTGCAGAGCTGGCAAAAATTTAAGGTGATGTACATTCAAGAAGACGTTAAGCTGGATACTTTGAACGGTTGTTATCATAAGTAGCATACAGTTGAATTTAAATCTTAGATATCAAACACTGACATAAAATATACTTATTTCAGTTCTTTCTATTTTTGAACACTTTAAAAAATTCAGCGAACAAATCGATACCTCCTATGAACACTTCGCCAACTTTATTTTTGGTCATTTTCTGTTATTTTTGTAAAAAGCCATATTTATTTACTAATATTGTGCTCCCCAAATTGTGTGAAATTAAAAAAAAGAAATAAAGAAACAAAATTGGAAAAAAACGAATTTTGTGAAATAAAACATAAAACGAAATAAAAAAGAACGTGTCAAAAAATTAAGTTGGCGCTGGTAGTATTCTTTGGAGGATAAATACAAACAAAATTAATGTAAGGGCACTCATAATAATAATACTACACAAGGATTCGCCCCTATATTCGTAACCATTCCAAGATATAATAGTTCAAAGCTATGAATTTTCACAAGACAAATAAATTTTGTAAAGTCACTTACAAAGCACTGACACAAACAATATAATTACTATGACAGTAATTTCATTATTTATTTATTATTCATGGCGATTCTAAATAATAGGACTAAATATATATTTTTTAAATGCAAGAAAAAAGTTGTTGCTTTAAAATTTTTAAATCTAATGCGTTGAGTTCCTTATGGGACAGTAAGTCATAATTGTGTTGATGCACGAGCCTGTAGTCACCTTGAATAAATTTTTCATTATAAAATATAAGGGAAACTGAGAAATATGGTACAACTACGCGGAAAGAAGTAATTAATATCAATTTATATCTAAGTGAACTAACCTCTTGGACCGAGATTCGAGGTATTTTTGTACGTAAGGTAAATAGCCGGCAAGTATGTAATATATCACCACCATCAACCTATTTAAACGTCCCACTGCTGGGAACGGGCCTCCTTTCAGGTATGGGTAGGTCATAGTTTACCACAAGGGCCCAATTCGGGTTGCGGACTTCACACGTTTTCTGAGGGTTGTGAACCTTCTTCGGCGTGCAGGCTTCATCACGATGTTATTCTTTACCATAACGCTCATGACAAATTTCAAATTAAATCGTAAATTTCGAGAAACTCAGAAGTGCAAGCCTGGATTCGAATCCACGGTATGCTTGAGAGGCGTTAGGTCAAACCATTAGGCTACCAAGGGTTGTGTAACATAAAAAAAAAAACAAAAACTTTAAGCTATGTATCTTTATTCCTTGTGAAATGTATAAGAGCTCTCAGATTCACTGTATGAAAATTCTCATTGTGGGTGGGTGCTTACTTTGTACATGACTGTACGATATAAGTAGGCAGTCGTGCTTCATCTTTTTTCACGAAATTATCTGAAAATTTCTGAACCTTAGAGTGTTTGTCTCGTACGCATTCCATTATGAGTTGTAATCCTCACGCCCGCAAGTTTCTGTAGTAGTAGCTCCCACTGCTGGGCACGGGTCTCCTCTTAGGAGAAGTTTAACGCCATATTAACATTATTATTCATCTGATTGCGATAAAACTTTCTTAAGTTGTTGTGCTCACGCTTGTAAAAGTTTCTGAAGTATTGGATTCCACTGTTGGGTGCTGGTCTCAAAGAGAGGGGTTGAAAGGGTTGTAACCCTAACTAGCCGTGAACAGGTTCACGGTAATGAAATGGGAAACTTCCGGTCCACAAAATTTATTAACGAAGTAAAGTTTAAAGAAAGGCTGTAACAATATACAGGTAAATGTAAAAAACAGGTATAACAGTATAAAATACTCTACACTTTATTATTAAGGCACTCACCCCTAAATGGGCCGAGAAACTGAATTACAGAAATAGATACATGAAGGGTGTAGACTTATTATTACACATGATTAGCTTAGTAACAGCTCTGACTGTTGTGGCGGTCGAGCTGGGAGTGACCGTGGTACGAAAACAAAATGAGAAAGTGAAGGAATATGGAACAATTCAAATTTAAAATTTAAATACAAGTAAAATAAAAAAAATGATAAGATACAAGCGGAGAGAGGCGATACAAAGAGGTGAGATGACGGTGTAAGGAGGTCACACCGTCACAGGGTAATGCCATAATGCACTATGCTAGTCCACGGGTTGGGGACTTAACACGTTTTCAGCCGCATTACAAGTGCAGCCAATGTAATATAAAATGAAACGAATTATCATTAGGGTTTTTATGAACTATTAATTAGTTGCATCAACTATCCTACGACAAATGATAACTAACATAACGACAAATAACATAACATTACGACGCGACAAAAACTGTGCGATTGTAACGCGCGCGGTGCGTTTATTAAGTGCCTGCTGGCAGCACTACTCTATGTACTTCATGTATAAGCTATTTAGGAGAGTTTTGATTTGTTATCTATTATATTATTAGAGTAACAAAAGTCTGCTTTTGCCAACGTTGAGAAAATTACCCGAGGTCACCGTGACCGTGTCAAGGCCGGCAAATTACGTTGCATTACGATAATGTAGGTACTAACATAATATGGCGGATTGTAGCAGTGGCTTTACGTCCCGTCACGTCGTTGATATTGAAAAAAAATCCATGTCTTGAAGTATGAAATCAAATAATTTATGACTATGTTATCGTCAACCGATTTATGTGTCCCACTGCTGGTCAAGGGTGCCACTTTCAAACGAGGGTTTAGGCCATAGTTCGCCGCGCTGGCCCAATGCGGGTTGGGGACTTCACACGTTTTTCGGGTTGTGAATGTTATGTTATGGCTATGTCAATTTCAGAAAAATTCCAATTACGGAAAAGTACAAAAACAAGTTTAAAAAGGAAATATTATATAATAGGTATACACGTTTACACAATGCTGTTGGTTTCAATATAGTCAAATATCGAAAACTTATAACTTGTATATAATCATGTATGAGATATATGTAAACAAATTTATTAATAATAATAATAATATTTATTTCATTCATATACACACACAGCAAAATCAAAAATTGTTTTCGTACGTTTCTATTATTGTATGTACGTACGTATAAAATGCTTAAACTCCCGAATCCCAAACTAAGCAAAAGCTTGTATTTTGGGATTCATTGTTCTTCCAGTCATTGGCTATCACTAGGTAAATACAGTACCTACAACCAAGAGGTAAAAATTTATAGTTTAAAAAAAAGGCAATTGCTATGGTATCTAAGTATAAAAACTACGACAATAAATAAATAAAAAAAACTAGTAATGTTAAAAATTAAATATATAAAAAAATAATAAAAAAGAATAATAAAGACAGTACTTTCCTGTCGAAGTGTGAACAACAGTAATGGATAACCGTTTTCATTCAGTATACTTAAAATAAGTTACAATTTGTAAGTCAATGGTGGCAATACATGAACTTTGTTTAAACTTGAATTTGTTCAAGAGAGAACGTAATCAGTACAGAGTACTAAAAAAACCGACCTCAAAAGTCGTTCATCCCCTAGTTTGCCACCCTTAGAGGTGGACTATTTTTTTCAAATTTAAATGGGACCACTTCTGAGGTTCCCTCTTTCCAACAAAGAAATTATTATCAAAATCGGTTCACAAATGCCAACTCAGAGTTATCGCGTAACATACATACAAAAAAAAACATACAGTCGAATTGAGAACCCCTTCCTTTGTTTTGAAGTCGGTTAAAACAAAAGACTTCACAAAAATAAATTAGATTACAACATAACGCGCTGGAAAACTTTAGCATACCTTTTTAACTTTTGCATATTAAAGTTCCTTTATATAATTTTTTGTAAGATTCTTTTTTATTTAGTAAAGAAAAGAAATACATATTCACAAAGGCATTAACTACCTTGCAAGTTTTGTTGTATGTTAATATGTAATACGTTAAATCACCGTTTAGTGGTGAGGGGTAAGGTCACCTTTTTAACAAGTTCCGTCGCTAGGAAGGGGAAAAATGTGTCCGAGGTTGAATGGCTGATAACAGTAACTCACCCTTTAGTTCTCTCATTGTTACAGAAGACTAAGTCGTTTACGAGATCACTATGTATCTTATTGTGGGGTATGACATTCGCGAGCACGTTATACCGGTGACTGATCAACGCCAGATCGCCTGGCGAGCGTGAGCGTCTATGCGGCTTAGCGGTCGCTACTGTCTTATATCTATTTACTATTCTCGATCAAGGAGGTCGCAAAATCAATGGCTTCAAGCACTTGCGATTTTTTCTCATTGAGACGGAACTGAACCG